TGGTCCGGGGTCCCTTCCCGCCCTGTGTTGTTGGTCCCCGGTGGCGAGGAACCAACACTTAATCTCTGAAGAGAAGAAATGTAATATGTTCGCTTAGCTAGAAATAATGTGTGTGTGTGTGTGTGTGTGCGTGTATGAGAATAAGCCCCCAAAAGTGGTAACTGATATGGTTCTAGGATCAGATAATGAGGCAGATGTGCACATGCCCTGATTTACCAGGCAGGCTACACATTCTTTCTAAGGAATGCTTTAAAGTCTCAAATATAGTCTTTCAGCTTTCAGCAATTACTCAACCACGGCAAGATTAATTCTGAATTTTATTCTCCCAAGAAGGAAACCCTTTTTTATTCTGTCTTGACCACAGATCATTAATATAGCTGATGAATTGTCTGTGCCTTATTCAAGTACAGCGAGATCCATTTAAAGGAGACTCAGCTAGGTATGATTTAACATCAGTAAATATTCAAAGAACATTATTTCCCAGCAATTGACATAGCTTGTTAATGGTCATGAAGTTTAGCTTTCTCCAGATCCATTGGAAAATAATGCATTGTGAATGTTCTCCATGGTGAAAAGCAGGGACCAATGGGGAAATCATCACAAGGATGCTAGAAATTAGTGTAATGAGAACTTAAAAATATACCCCATGAAGCACTTACATAGTGTGAAAAGTACTCCAAGATTTTTTTTTTTTAAATTTTGGTAAACTGCTAAAAAGATATTACATTGTAAAACATTAATTGTAAACATGCTTACACTTAGATGTTTTATGTTTAAGCACTTGTATGGTAATCTAATTCTTTGGCTTGCTATAAGGGAGCTCCTGCCTATAATTCTATAATTCCTTTTTTTTTTGGCTGCTGGCTGGTATGGAGATCCAAACCCTTAACCTTGGTGTTAATAACACTGAACTCTAACCAACTGAGCTAACTGGCTGGCCCTACTGTAATTCCTAATATTGGTTATTTGTTTGAAGGTAAAATGCATTATTAGCTCCCTGCAGTGCTGGGAGTGCATTACCCAGTGCGACTCTGGCTGCAGATGCATCATAATTGATCCAAAAAGACACCCAGGACAGAATTGTAATCAGTGTAGAAGGCATGTAGGTTTGCAAGATGAAGTAACCAATGTTTCTCTTTAGACGAAAACTTAGTGACAGTCGTGGATATGCCCCTGAGTTGAAAAAAAGAAAAAGAAAATCAGATCATCATTTGGTTGAAACCGTCCTCTTTCTTTCACAGGACTCCTAGTTCATTTTGAGGAAACCATCCTCACCTGTTGTGAACTCCACTTTCTTGGACACCATCTTGTAGTCAACAATTGAAAACTGAGGGAGCTCAATTTTATTAACACCAGTTACTGCTCCCTCTCCTCCATTCCAGTAAAACTCAATGTCATCAGTGGTATAGCCATCTGAAACCAAGAAACACAGTACAGTTAAATAGAGTTTAGTTGGTCTAGAAATTTATTTCAAAGACAGTTTGGGAGCTGGAGGAAAAATTCCCAAGCAAGGTGGCATTGCTTTAAATTAGTCATATAGGTCTCATGCTGAGTGCTATTTCTGATGGGTTGGAAGTGGCTGCATTGAGAAGACGGATGCATCCGGCTTTAGTGAACATAAGCTCTGGATCACTTAGTGATATCTGATATCACTGCTGCATATTTATTCTCATTGTGTCTGCCAATGGGCATTCTTTGGTTAAATTGGAAGATAACTAGATTCCAGATGCCTGGATGTGGATTTTGATTATGTGTTATTTAACTACAACAATAACAGCAACAAGTAATAATAATTGATTACATATTTTTTAAAAGGGGAACAGAAAGGGTAAATGGATGGAGTATAATGAAAAGCCAAATTTGTATGTGCCCATTAAATGATCAAAACATTTTAAAAGATATACACATTTCTTTTAGAAAATTAGGCAAGCTTCTATTCATATTCCTTGATTATTGCTAATATTATTAAAGCTAATATATATGTGAAAATTTTAGGACTATATAAATTCTTGATAATACTTTTATATCTTCATATTATGAGGGTGAGCTTCAGTTAATTAAATGAGAATGTGTAGAAGATTGTACATTGCAGTAGAAGGGTCCACCCTCAGGTCTTCAGCATGAAGACCCTATGTCGATGGTCTATTCTCTCTCCTTCCACTCTGCTCCCACTTGCCAGTGGTCTAATTGGGTTATGGTTGTGTATCAGAGTAATTTGCATAAAATGAATATAAGGACATATTCAAAACTCCAAAATAATTTAAAACATATTTAAGACCATGTTTTTCTCTTTTTACCAGCTAAAGACGAACATGACCTTTCTAAGATCATTTTCTATTTATATCCACTTCAGATAAAAGTGCATTAAATCTTTTTTCCACTAGAATTACTAGAGCTTGTGTTTCAAAGATAACCATGTAAGCTCTTTGTAGTAGATATTATGCTGACCTACTTTTGATTAAAGCCAGTAACATCTTTCCAAGAGATTAAAAAAAAAATGTTTAAAATTTAGAAGTTGACTGCCAAGTGCCAAGGGGTCACCATCAACTTATCACTGCAAGAATGTAAGAAATTTTAAAGCTATTCTTCCCCTCCCTTCTTTTTTTGAGGGCAAGCAAGCTGTTTTAATTTTATTGCTTTAAGGGCCAGCCTGTGGCTCACTCGGGAGAGTATGGTGCTGATAACACCAAGGCCATGGGTTCGGATCCTATATAAGGATGGCTGGTTTGCTCCCTGGCTGAGCGTGGTGCTAACAATACCAAGTCAAGGGTTAAGATCCCCTTACCGGTCATCTTTAAAAAAAAATAATAATTTTATTGCTTTAAACATTTCTAACTTCTCTTCAAAAAGCTCTTATTTGAATTTTTACTGCTAAACTCATTAAACTCACAACTGTTTTATATTTGTTACTTTTTGCCATCCAATAGAGGATATTATTTATTATAAGATATTTCAATTTATTTTATTTCTCTTTAAACCATCTCCTTCTAGGTTTAAGAACTTGCCCTCTCTCTAGAAGGTAATGATCTTTCATATCATGGAACTCGTTCTACAATGGCCCAAGTGTTGTCATAGAAATAGAAGATATTTACTTCTAGATATATTGCCACTTTGCAAGAGGCTGTGAGACTCTCTTTATCTACTGGACTTAGAATGATTTACATGGGACCTAATGGTCATATTGGGAATTTATATCAAGCTTGGATATGACTCTATAAAACTGTGATACTTAACATCTCCTTGAGAATTTGATAAAAACCTGTTGAAGGGCCGGCCCGGTGGCGCACTGGATAGTGCGCCGCTTGGGAAGTGTGGCGGCGCTCCTGCCCGAGGGTTCGGATCCCACATACAGACCGGTTCCCACTCACTGGTTGAGTGAGGCGCGGGAGCAACACCGAGGGTTGCGATCCCATTGCCGGTCCCCGGTCCGGTACGGGCGCANGATATTTACTTCTAGATATATTGCCACTTTGCAAGAGGCTGTGAGACTCTCTTTATCTACTGGACTTAGAATGATTTACATGGGACCTAATGGTCATATTGGGAATTTATATCAAGCTTGGATATGACTCTATAAAACTGTGATACTTAACATCTCCTTGAGAATTTGATAAAAACCTGTTGAAGGGCCGGCCCGGTGGCGCACTGGATAGTGCGCCGCTTGGGAAGTGTGGCGGCGCTCCTGCCCGAGGGTTCGGATCCCACATACAGACCGGTTCCTGCTCACTGGCTGAGTGAGGTGCGGGAGCAACACCGAGGGTTGCGATCCCATTGCCGGTCCCCGGTCCGGTACGGGCGCAACACTGAGGGTTGCGATCCATTGCCGGACATGGAAAAAGACAAAAAGACAAAAA